AAAATCTCATTTTTTTACAAAATACTGTAATACAGTGGAACCTCCATTATCCGTCTCTCGTTTAACCGTCACCTCTGTTAACCGTCCTCATTCCGAGATGGGTTTTTTTAAAAATTAATTTCTATCTGCATAATATTACTTTTACTTTATTTATCTATTAATGAAATTTGTACCATTAGTATTTTGTTTGTTTGTATTGGTCACATTGTTTACTTTTACTTTTGTATACTGCGTGTACACACAATGTATTGTGAACTTTTCGAGAATTTGATTTAGTCTGAATTGAAACATTGTGTCAAGTGTTCCTTTGACAAAATTTATCAAATTTATTAACTTAAAATGGAAATTGTTGCGTCCACTTCAAGTAAACAAAAACGAAAAAGAAACGTTCTCACAGTTGAAAAAAAAGTAGAGATCATCGAGCTACTAAAAAAAGGTGCAACTGCAGTTTCTTTGAGTTCAATGTATAATGTTCCGCGAACTGCGATTAACGACTTAAAAAAACGCGCAGACGAAATCGTGCAGTATGCTTCGCGAATGGAATCTTTCAGTGGCCCCAGCAAAAAAAAGAGAACAATGAAAGAAGCATCAAATTCAACGCTGGATGCGGCACTTTATTCATGGTTTCTTCAGAAAAGAAGTGAAGGAATTCCACTTTCGGGACCTATTGTGGCTGCAAAAGCATTATTTTTTAATGAGAAATTAAATGGCGGTGTTAATTTTAAAGCAAGCAACGATTGGTTGAAAAAATTTAAAAATCGTCACGGTATACGCGAATTAAATATTGAAGGTGAAAAAATGAGTGCTGCTAGTGTGGAAACTGTTAACGATTTCAAAATGAAGTTGCAAAAAATTATTAATGAAAATGATTTGACACGTGACCAAGTATACAACGCAGATGAAACTGGTTTGAATTACAAAGCATTGCCAACGAAAACACTTGCTTCTATCTGTGAAAAATATGCACCAGGATTCAAAATGCAAAAACAACGAATTACAGTAATGGTGTGCGCTAATGCAAGCGGGAAAAATCGAATCCCTTTGCTATTGATTGGCAAATCGAAACGTCCACGTTGCTTCAAAGGATTAAACATGAATGCACTTCCGTGCACATATGCGGCACAAAAAAACGCGTGGATGTCCAAGAATTATTCACGGAATGGTTTAAAAAAGTAAGAAAATTTTTTCAACTTTTTTTTTCTTAATTTAATTTTTAAAAATGTTGAGTTTAAATTTTTTTTAGGTGTTCGTGACAAATGTACAAAAAGATTTGAAATCAAAGAATTTGCCACCAAAAGCAATTTTGATTTTAGACAATGCGCCTAGCCATCCTGAAGTCAATTCACTAATAAGTGATGATGGAAATATCACGTGCTACTTTTTGCCAGCAAATACAACATCATTGATGTAACCAATGGATCAATCGGTTATCGAGACATTTAAGGCCAGGTCCAAGTGAGGCAGCGTCATCTACATTAATACTAAAATTTTGGAAAATTTTCAGCAGCCTTTTCTTGAAAACAAGATGGTAAAATGCTTTTTCCTTTATGGATAATTGATTATTGGCAAGATATACACCAGCTAAAACTTTTTTTGAGTTTAGATAATAAAAAAAATTTCATGTCAATAAATTAAATATGAGCACTTTTTTCACAAAAACTGTAACAGTACTTTCTCAGAAATTACAATCAAAAATGCAATTTCCATTTGGAAAATTAATAAACGCTAAAAAATACACGACCTAAGATTTACCAATCACGAAAATAACAAAAAAAAAAGTATTTTAACATAACATATTTTACTCATTATGACAGCCGTTTGGCAGGTTATATATGTCACCAGACGTTTCGCAGTTTTGCCGAAAGGAGGAGATTGGCGCTGTTGCTTAACCACCTGAAATACATAATCTACCAAAGGGCTGTCACAATCAGTAAAGCAGTATCAATATGTTAAATATTTAATAAAATTTTTTTTGTTATTTTCGTGATTGGTAAATCTTAGGTCGTGTATTTTTTAGCGTTTATTAATTTTCCAAATGGAAATTGCATTTTTGAGTGTAATTTCTGAGAAAGTACTGTTACAGTTTTTGTGAAAAAAGTGCTCATATTTAATTTATTGACATGAAATTTTTTTTATTATTTTAACTCAAAAAAAGTTTTAGCTGGTGTATATCTTGCCAATAATCAATTATCCATAAAGGAAAAAGCATTTTACCATCTTGTTTTCAAGAAAAGGCTGTTGAAAAATTTCCAAAATTTTAGTATCAATGTAGATGGCGCTGCCTCACTTGGACCTGGCCTTAAGCGTCGATACCGAAATAAATTCATTCAAAATCTCGTGATTGAAAAACATATGTCTTTGCAGGAATACTGGAAAGCATACAATTTGAAACATGTTGTCGATAACTCATCGGATGCTTGGGCTGAAGTGTCTGAAGAAACTCTCAAAAGATGTTAGAATAAATTGTGGCCTGAATCACCTGACGAGTGTCAAGTGACAAATGTCTCTGAAAGTGATGGTGTAACAAATGACATTTTTGCAGCATCAGCTAATATTTTCTTACTGGATGAAGGTGAAATTCGCGAGTGGTTAGTTTGCGATGAAGCATTAGATGGCAATGTATTGCTGACGGATGAAGAAATTCTCGACAGTACGGTTGAAACGGACGCTGACTTAGAAAAAGAAACAAATTTTGAATATGACGGTTCTGACACGACTGAAAACACAGTTCAAGCAAAAAATTTGCGTAAAGAAGCAAAACAAGCATGTTCTAATATGCAAAATTTTATTGACTGGTATGAACATTTTCTTTATTTTATAACTATTAGAAAACAATTCTCAACTTATTGTTGTATGTATGATAAATAACTTAATGCACATATTTCAAAGAGTATTAAAATAACTAATAAAAACATAAATAGATTTTATATATGTAATAATAATACATTACAATTACATCAAAAATTTTGAGAGAAAGTATTGGAAAGAAATTAATAAACATATTTTTTAATAAAAAATCATCGTTTTCTACCTATTGGAATAATTTAAAGACTTTTTCATTTAATGTTTTTTTACCACCGACATAGTACTGATTCGGTGTGAATGACAGGGTACTACCAGTACTGGTTTTAATATTTTTTTACCTCCGATATAGTATTGATTCGGTGTATTAGTCAGTACACTGCCAGTACTGAAAGTCAATACCGACAGCCAGTATTGGATCAGTACCATACCGGTGTTTAATTACGGCGAGCTACGGACATTTCTACTTGGGATTGTTAGGTTTTTTTAAAAACTATCGAAGAGGGAGAGGGTTGAATTTTTTTGAAAAATTTAAACAATGAATATTTGAAGACTTGTAACTTTTAAACAGAAAGAAGAATAAAAATTTGTCCTATATGTTTTCCAAAGGTTTATTCCTGCTCTTTCGAATAATGCAAAAAAATTTCAAAAAATCAAATTTTGACCCTTTTTTTGAAAATTAAACATTTTTTCAAAGTTTTTTTTAAGTTCGGTCATTTTCTTTTTTTTTATTTATTTTTTTTTTGAAAGCTAATAATGTGTATTTTCACCACAAAAAATATTGAGATGTTCTTTTTTGTTATTTTCGAGATATTAATTAATTAATTAATGTTAATAAAACATGAAATATTTCACAAATAAATAAAGTTATTGCAATTTGTGAAATATTTCATTTTTTATTAACATTAATTAATTAATTAATATCTCGAAAATAACAAAAAAGAACATCTCAATATTTTTTGTGGTGAAATACACATTGTTAGCTTTAAAAAAAAATTAATAAAAAAAAATAAAAAGGACCGAACTTAAAAAAAATTCGAAAAATGTTTAATTTTCAAAAAAGGGTCAAAATTTGAATTTTTTGAAAATTTTTTTGCATTATTCGAAAGAGCAGGAATAAACCTTTCAAAAACATATAGGACAAATTTTTCTTTTTCTTTCTGTTTAAAAGTTACAAGTCTTCAAATGTTCACTGTTTAAATTTTTCAAACAAATTCAACCCCCTCCCTCTTCGACAGGTTTTAAAAAAACCTAACAATACTTAGTGGTTAAAGAACTCACCCCTAGGACTAAACTATGTGCAAGTTACAGCCTGATCCGATCAACTTTTTTTTCACTTAGTTCGCTACAGTAATTTTACCCCCTATATAAAAATAAATTTTATAATTTAGTTCTTTTTAACTTTTTACAATTTAACTTATATTGTGATAAATAATTATAGATAATTAATTATTAATTATTGTCTTTGATCGTAAAAAGTATAAGAATTTCACTTAACACAAATTAAATATAAACATATTGAAGGAAGTAATTTTTAATTTAAATTTTCTTATAGATATCTAAAATCTGCTAAAGATATTCAAAGACAATATGGCAAGCAAGGAGATGTTACTTTTAATGAAATGTTACAAAGAGCTTTAAACATGAATGATGGAGAAATTTGGCTGCCAGTAAAATGAGGGCTTTCAATTACAAAAAATTAAAAAAAAATCACCTTGTAAAATTGTCAAAGTGTTCAATATAAATCTCATGTATACAATGTATAAATAAAATAAAGTGTTGCATTAGGATGACAAATGGTTTTATTTTAACTTTTAAGTGAGCAAAATAAGAAAAAATATTTTTAACGTAAATAACCGATTTTAAAATATAGTACTGTCTTAAAACATTTTTAATAAATAGCAAAAAATGTTAACCAATTTCTATAAATAAAATTTTTTAAAAAAATTTACATTATTATTAAAATTATTATAATTTTAATAATAATAATAATAATATTAAAAATATCAATAATAAATTTTTTAGTATTATTTAAGACGAAAAATAATTTTCATTAGTTGCTGTAAAAAGTAATAGTGACTCCATCTCCCATAATTTTTCAGAACTTTCTTTCAAAAATATTTGTTTATCAACAAAAATGTTCAGCGCTATCTACATTTTGATTATTTCTTCCTTATCACATTTCATGTAATAAAAAAGAACAAGAGAATAATTCTTGGAAATTTATCATCTGTTAGTTCATTATAGTAAAATACAGTAAAATATCAGTGTCATAAAAAAAGATACAATAACTTGGCTATATTATAATTATTCTTTTTGTCATAACGTTTACATCATTTTTGTATGTTTCAAAGTAATTACAACATTTCTCGAAAATACAAACTTTTGGAAAATAGAAAATTGATAATCTTCCTGACGATTCTAATCTTTATTGTAAATATGTGTCAAAAGAGAAAAGTTATCGATCTTTACAAAACTGTGAGTGAGAAACAGATTCGGTTTATTTCAATTTAATAGCATGAAATAACATTTCTTTATTAACAAAAAGGTAACATTTAATATATAGTCAGTATAAAAAAGTATATATGAAAATATAATATACATTTATTCAATTCTTTAATAATACAAATTTGTTTCTTGATAATCATATACAAATTTAAAACAATATATAATTAATCACAAGTATTTTTATTCACATTTTATTAATCTCCTTTTATGTAAAAAACAAATTTTTTTAAGGAATAGAATATATTTTGTTATGTGACAGTATATATAAAATGTCATATTTAACATGTTAAATCATTTAATGTTACTGATTATATCAAATTTATTTTAATCATATATAGGATAGGTTAGGTTATAACTATCCTCGTCACTTCACAAGACATAATAATCGTCATTTGATATATAATTTACAAATTTCAAATTGGAATCAATATAAAAATTTGGTTTATTTTAGAATGCCATTTTACGATATAATATTTATTACTTGAAAAAAGAATTTCATTTAAATTATTTTCATATAATTTTGTATTCAATATTTTTGTAAATAACAAATTTTTTGGTCTACAATATAACCTAACGCGTATCATAAATAATTTTTTCATATATTTTTATTAACAGTAATAATTATAGTCATTTTAATTTATTTTATTAAAACTTTATGTAAAAAATACTATTTTTATAACAAGTGTGAAAAACAATTTTCTCTAATCGTACTCAAACTTCGGTAATTTGTAATTCTATTGGATAGTAATTGGACGTAAAAATATTTTCCATTTAAACTAATATTTACATACATATTTTTCGGAAGGAACAGACTTACCCTCCTGCCTAGTCGAACAACTTTATTTTATTATTTAATTTAAAAAAGTACCTGTAAGCATAAGCACGATTGAAATTAAATGTTTTATGGGCATATATCTCTAAAAACCTTTAACTTTTATGTAGCTTTGATATATTTTGGTAATTTTAATACATTTTTGTTTGGTTTTTGTTGGAAATAATATTGCTTGATACGAGCAATCATTTCCAAACCATTTTACATTAATTTATTAAAATGGTAAATAATAATTCCAATTTAAATACTCAATTTTTAAAACTGTTAAAAATTTTCAGTTTTAATGTTTATTTCTATATATTTATTTGCACAGAATAATGGATCCAAGAATATTAATAATGTAAAAAAATAAGATGCGAGAGAAAAGAAAAATAGAAAAGGATAATATACATAATTTTAATATTTATTATATATTTTTATACCTAGTTTGCTATTATAAGTATTTTATTATTAAAAAAAATATTCAAACTATTAAACAAAATTTATTGTTTTTTAAAATTTATAACCCTATAGTCATTTCTTTTTAACTGTTTTTTATCCTAAAAAGCAACCACCTGTTATAATTTTTACCCTATGACAACTAGGTGAAAAAATTATTTTTAGCACAAAAAAGTTTAAAATATGATGTTTGACTAGGATTTGAAAACTCAAAATAGTGGATCGAATATGGCAATTATATTTACAGTTAACTAGATTTATATCCAATTACTTACTGATAAGAAATAAAACAACATATTTGCTAAAATATTTTTTCAATTATAGTTACTATTTATGGGCCGAGACTATCCGAAAGGTTATGAGTTTTTTCGAACAAATTTGCGTAAAGCTTTTAGAAAAAACAAAGATGAGCAGAGTTCTGAGGAAATCGACAAAATGATTGCACATGGAGAGTTTGTGAAAAAAGAACTTAAAACACTTTATATGCTACGAAAATATCGAACATTAAAGAAAAGATACTATGATTCTTAAAATTGTATATCATAATTTGTGTAAAAATTAATTTCAAAAAATTGTAGATACTTTTGTGATATTTTGTAATTATAGGCAAATAAATATATTTTTATCAACTTATACTTTGGTTAATACTCAATAGTAAAATTAAATAAAAAATTCGGATATATCATATATATTTATGTCAAATTGAATTCGTCCTACTATTTACATGACAGTCCACAGTGGGCCAGAACGCATCCAAAAGCGGCTAAAAGTCGACTTTAGAATTTTGAATCTAATTACCTAAATTTTATGTAACTTTTTGTAAAATATTATAGTTATTTGTCAAAGATTATTGCAGTGGTTGTATGTTTGTTAGAAAATTTGATTCGAAAATTTAAAGGACATTGTCCTCTTAAATATTCATTTAGTTTTTATAAATGATTATTTTTCTGACGTTTAAATGTTATTTATTTTAAATGACATTTATTATGTTGAAAAATATTAATATTAAATTAAAATTACTGTATATTGTAAATAAAAAATCGGACAAGTGCGAGTTACACTCGCATTAAAACCGAGGGTTCCGTACCCTTAAACCTAAAATTTAAGGGGGTTAAAGTGTAAAGGCGGGTGGAAAAATTCCAATTTTGCTTAATTTTTTCTGTAATGTGAGCATAAAAACACATAGATAGACACATAGTCACATGTAACGAAAATTATCAGTTTTTCCTTGAAAACTCTATGATTATCAACTCCAATCATGCTCACTATATTTTTCTTGTAATCTACACGTAAAATACCTAAAAATGTATAAATTTGAAGCCCTTAAGATAAAATTTTCTTCTTTTTTTTATTCGAAAAATCCATGATTTTTTCTACAAATATGAGTTTTCCTTAAAAACAATATGATCATCAACTCCAATCGTGCTCGCTATATTTTTTCTGTAATCTATACGCAAAAATACGTATGTATACCAAATATTAACTGTCTAGGTCAAATAGTGTGTGCGCTAGGAGGATTAAACGCTTTTTTTCAAAATTTTTTATTTTTCCTTGACAACGTTATGTAAATCGATCCGAATCATGTTTGCTATTTTTTTCCTGTAATTTTCACGTAAAAATACATATGTGTACCAAATTTGAGATCTCTATGTGAAAAACTGTGTCCACCAGGGGGGGGGTACATAGTCATTTTTATGGATTTTTCGTAAAAATTCATGGTTTTTCCTTGACAACGCTATGATAATCAATTCCTATGAGATTCGTTATATTTTTCCTGTAATCTACACGTTAAAATACATATGTGTACCAAATTTCAGCCCTCTAGATAAATTCGTGTGACCGCTAGGGGGGGGGGGTACATGCCTTGCTTCACTAGTCTCATTAATAGGGTTTTCCCTTCAGGTACGGAACCCTAAAAATAAAGGACAGTTAACATCTAAAAATGTTAATTTTTTTGAAATGCACTTGCTTGTTAGTTCTCCTTACTTCCGCAAGATATAAAGCTCACTAAGCGTGTAATCTCTTCTTAATTAAATGTACTTTCAATTAAATTTGCTACTTTTTTAATTTAGTGGAGTTATATACAAAATAAGGTAAACATTTTTTCATTGAAAATCATTTTTTACAAAGACATATTTTGGTCTACGTACATCAATGCTCTTTTAATTTATATATATCTTTCCCAAGTAGAAATGTGCCACTGGCATAGTACTGACCCAACACTGCCAGTCAGTATAATAGTACTGACTGCCGTACTGGTCCAGTAGTGGACCAACCCTGGCTGGTAACGCTGTCCAGTACTGATTTTGTCCCGCTCACCAGTACTAACGTAGTACTAGAATAATACTGGCATAATACTGGCAAAGTACTCATCCGGACTTAAAATCTCACTTTTTTACAAAATGCTAAAACACGCTTTCCAATGCAAATTTCATCCTTATTAGCTTATTACTCCCATTTTTACCACGAACAGGTAATGTGAAGCCAATAATAGTTAATGTTATTTAGAATATATAAAATATTATTAACAATAAATAATTAAAATAATAATTATCATTTATATTAATTAAATTATTTTATTTTTAATAAATTATTTTACAAAAAATAATTTGTGTTGTAAATTTTTTTATTTTTTTAAATTCATAATATTTAATTTTTTTTACTTTGCACTTATACTTAATTTAATAATTATTTAATAATTGATATTACACATGAACAAATATTGTACTTATAACACTTAAAACTAAGAACGAAAAATCTCGCACGCATGGGGGATCGAACCCTAAACCCTTAGAACGCAAGTCAGATACGCATACCGCACAGCCGCGCTGGCTTAAATGTGCTGACTTGAAGTAGTTCACCTAATACAAAAGTTTTGATTTCAAAGTTTGTATTATCTATTGATCACGAAAATAAAATGAATTTATTCTTAAATTTTTTAAACTCACAAAATTTTTTCAATTTTTACAAAGATTTAATGAAATAAAACTGGATATCAATTTCAGTTAAATATTTTTAATAAATTATTTTTACCGTAAATAATATTAAAACAGACAAAAATGATTGATGAATTACATAATTAAAAATAAGTTAATAAAAGACGACTGTAAAATATGAATGGTAAAAAAATTTTTAAATTTAATATTTAATTATTAATAATATTTAAAAATTACAGTGAAAAAATTACATTTGCTTTATTTTTAAAACTATTAGAAAAAAATTCTCAACTTATTGTTATTGCATGCATGATAAATAACTTAATGCACATATTTCAATGAGTACTAAAATAACTAAAAAAACATAAATATATTTTATATAGGTATATAATAATACATTACAATTACATCCAAAATTTTGAGGGAAAGTATTCGAAAGAAATTAATATACATTTTTTTAAATAAAAAATCATCGTTTTCTACCTAGTGAAATAATTTGAAGACTTTTTCATTTAATGTTTTATATCACCGACATAGTACTGATTCGGTGTGAATGACAGTGTACTGCCAGTACTGGTTTTAATATTTTTTTACCTCCGACATAGTACTGATTCGGTGTATTAGTCAGTACACTGCCAGTACTGAAAGTCAGTACCGACAGCCAGTATTGGATCAGTACCATGCCGGTGTTTAATTACGGCGAGCTACGGATATTTCTACTTGGGTTCTTTTGTTTTTATTACTCCCCGCACATAGAGACGTTACATTTTATTGTACATTCTCTATTTAAACTGTTAATAAAAGTGTTACAGAAGCACATTTTTAATTTTATTATTTATAATTTAAAGAAGAGAATTGTTTTTGTGTTTTGCTTTATGGTGAAAGCTCTTACGTATATTTAACTTCTTTTTGTTATTTAGTTAAAAGTTGATTGTAAATGTAGAAAAAAAGGGAATTAGTAAAAGGGAAATTATTGAGAAATTTAAAGAATTAAAAAATGTTGATTTAGTCGTAAATTATATAATTCAAAAGAGACATATTAATATTATTAATATCGACAAGAAATTTATAACCCGTTTTAGAATTGCAATTTATTCACTAAGAAATAAACGAAATTCTAAATTTAACGCTAAAAAAAGAATAAAATGTAGATTTGAATTAAAACATGCTGAAAGGTGAAATTCTAGATTTATATATACAGGTAAATTAGTGTTTATTTATACATGATTTATGGAAAAACTATGATAATCCTGGCGGATTGTATGCGATGCGAATGCTCCACGAAATTCGCGGAAAATTCATGGAACACGAGGTTTGAAATAGAAATTCTGTCCAAAATGTATAAAAAATGACGAAATTGATAGTATAATAATTATTACAATTATTAATTTCAATCTTTACAGTTTATTATCAACATTTGTCGATAAAATCAATAGAGACGCGCTTTTTAGCAGGTAGGTGGAAGCACTCCTTTTTTTCTCCTTAAATTCTTTTGTGTTTTTCTTATAAAAAGCAAAACTCTTATTTATTATACGGAAATATTGGTAAAAAACGTATTATTTTATCAAAAAAATTAATATTTTCATAAAAAATATTGGTGAAAAAATGAATTTTTTATCAAAAAAAAAGTTTAAAAAAATTAATTTTAAATTGAAATAATGGGGAAAAAATAAATTGTTTTATCAAAAAATTAGTATATTATCAAAAATATTGGTAAAAAAACAATTTTTTATCCAAAATATTGGTAAATAAATTAAGTTTTAATATTTAAAGGAATAAAAGTTTGAAAGAATTATTTATCTTTCTGTAAAAAATATTGTTAATATTGTTTCTATTTCAAAACGGGAAAAAAGAAGGCTTTTATATGAAGCATTTCTAAAAAAACCATGACATTTATTCAAAAATTTCACAGAAAAAACGCTAGGCAAATTTTGTTGCGGGTAATTTTCACCAATGCTAATTCACATAGATGGTGGCGCCCTCAACTAGGATAAAATTTGTTGCAGGTAATTTTTATACCGATTTTAGGGTAAAAATTCTACTTTTTTTCGTGTGTTTTGTTTACATGTTATAACACAGATGTCTGGAAAGAAAAAAAAGTTTGCCTATGATGCCAACAAAAATCATTGTTACCTGGTGGTTCCTTAGCACCCCCTGAAACGAGAAAACTTAACCCGAAAATCGTAGCTGTTCATTTAGAGAAGTTTCGAAATTTTTTCAAAAAACTTGTTTTCTAAGGGTCAGAGATAAGATTTAAATTATGTTAATGATTTTTATTTATGTGGATGTGTTTGTAGGATCTCATTTTCTAGGTACAAGTGATTAAAAATTTTTTTAATAAAAAATGAACTCGAATTCGTCACTTTTCTTTTATGTAGGTGACGATTTTGGATGATTTAATTAGTAAATAAATAAATCGTGTTAATGAATTTATATGTATAGGGCGAAATTCCACCACGAAGTGTTGTTAGGTTTTTTCAAAAACTGCCTGTAGGAGAGGGAAGAAGTTGGATTTTT